GTGATATCGTCATGATCCAGATCTTGACTTAACGTGTCAATCAAATGTTTACGTTGCTTTCGCATTTCTTCTGTCTTATCCAACATCCGTTTCAGTTGCGCACCTTCTGCAGTTTCTGCTGAAATTTTATAACTTTAACTCACTCCAATTCGTGAACGAATATCCGATCAACTCAATCAAACAATCTTCTCATGAAATAAAGCAATTTCGATTTGCTCTACGTGCCATAACATTCACAACGAGAAATTGAAAAATTCAAAACCAAAAATCCAATCAAATAAGTGAACAAAATCATCGTCGTTTTACAAAAAAATACATAACCAACATGGTTTCACAACTGGTCCTGATATGCGTCTATTGAGTTCACTTAAAGGCATCGCCAAAACACGCAAATTCTCCGAATGCGCAGCAATCGCTCGTTGCAGCTGTGTGTTATTGGTTCTTGCCTTCATGTGGTGATCACTGATACGTTCCAATTCCTTTTCGATTGCTTTGAAACCAGCATCGCTTCTTAGATCTGGCGATTCGATCGCTTTCAAACGATTATGAAGATCATCCAATTTGTGATCTGCTTCAATTGCACAACGTCCAACACCTAAACAAATTTTATTCAACCCTTTAACATCACCTAATCATTACAAAAACACTGCTCATGTAACATTCTCTCTTCCATTATTATCTACCATCTGTTTTCCACATAAGAACTGATGATCCATCCGCACAAAACCAACGACTCATCACGTAGACATTTTGACAATCTGTTACGAAGCCTTATTGCAGACGAAAGCTTACGTTGTAGTTTGTCAAGTAGGTCCGGAAAAGCGTCTGGTTGGGCGTTGAACGCAGCACTCCGTTCCAGCAGCATTTCCGGTAGTTTCAGTTCATCCACCGACTTATCCAGATTGATTTCATCCAATTGTAACGATAGCAAATAATCGTTCAGTTCTTTATCCTTCAGCTCAATTCGCTCGAGAACGTCCCTCTTGTATTTTGCTTTCTCTTCGCTATACAACGACACTGATTTGAGAA